TCAATTTTTCGACTTTTTGAACTTCTTGTTTTTATGGCTTAGAAAGGCGTTTTTTCGTTCTAGAATATCATAAAAGACATTTTCCTGGCCTATATTGCCTTAAAAAAAAAAGTTGGAAAAATGGCCATTTTTGGACCAAAACCATGGGTTAACCCCTTTGGAAAAATGTCAATTTTTCGACTTTTTGAACTTCTTGTTTTTATGGCTTAGAAAGGCGTTTTTTCGTTCTAGAATATCATAAAAGACATTTTCCTGGCCTATATTGCCTTAAAAAAAAAAGTTGGAAAAATGGCCATTTTTGGACCAAAACCATGGGTTAACCCCTTTGGAAAAATGTCAATTTTTCGACTTTTTGAACTTCTTGTTTTTATAGCTTAGAAAGGCGTTTTTTCGTTCTAGAATATCATAAAAGACATTAACCTGGCCTATATTGCCTAAAAAGAAAGTTGGAAAAATGGCCATTTTTGGACCAAAACCATGGGTTAACTCCTTTGGAAAAATGTCAATTTTCGAGTTTTTGAACTTCTTGTTTTTATAGCTTAGAAAGGCGTTTTTTCGTTCTACAATATCATAAAAGACATTTTCCTGGCCTATATTGTTTAAAAAAAAAAAATTGGAAAAATGGCCATTTTTGGACCAAAACCATGGGTTAACCCCTTTAGAAAAATGTCAATTTTCGAGTTTTTGAACTTCTTGTTTTTATAGCTTAGAAAGGCGTTTTTTCGTTCTACAATATCATAAAAGACATTTTCCTGGCCTATATTGCCTAAAAAAAAAAGATCGAAAAATGGCCATTTTTGGACCAAAACCATGGGTTAACCCCTTTGCAAAAATGTCAATTTTTTGACTTTCTAAACTTCTTGCTTTATAGCCTAGAAAGGCGTTTTTTGGCTCTAGAATATCGTAAAAAACATTTTCCTGGCCTATATTGCCTAGAAAAAAAAGTTGGAAAAATGGCCATTTTTGGACCAAAACCATGGGTTAACCCCTTTGGAAAAATGTCAATTTTTCGACTTTTTTAACTTCTTTTTTTTATAGCTTAGAAAGGCGTTTTCTCGTTCAAGAATATCATAAAAGACACTTTCCTGGCCTATATTGCCTAAAAAAAACGTTGGAAAAATGGCCATTTTTGCACCAAAATTATGGGTTAACCCCTTTGCAAAAATGTCAATTTTTCGACTTTTTGAACTTCTTCTTTTTATAGCCTAGAAAGGCGTTTTTTGGCTATAGAATATCGAAAAGACATTTTCCTGGCCTATCTTTCCTAAAAAAACAAGTTCGAAAAATGGCCATTATTGCACTAAAACCATTGGTTAACCCCTTGGCAAAAATGTCAATTTTTCGACTTTTGGAACGTCTTGTTTTTATAGCCTAAAAAGGCGTTTTTTGCCTCTAGAATATCGTATCTATATCTATATTGCCTAAAAAAAAAAAGTTAGAAAAATAACCATTTTTGGACCAAAACCATGGGTTAACCCCTTTGCAAAAATGTGAATTTTTCGAGTGTTTGAACTTCTTGTTTTTATAGCCTAGAAAGGCGATTTTGGCTCTAGAATATCGTAAAAGACATTTTCCTGGCCTACATTGCCTAAAAAAAAAAAGTTGGAAAAATGGCCATTTTTGGACCAAAACCATGGGTTAACCCCTGTGCAAAAATGTCAATTTTTCGACTTTTTGAATTTCTTCTTTTTATAGCCTAGAAAGACGTTTTTTGGCCCTAGGATATCGTAAAAGACATTTTCCTGCCCTATATTGAATAAAAAAAAAAGTTGGAAAAATGGCCATTTTTGGACCAAAACCATGGGTTAATCTCTTTGGAAAAATGTTAATTTTTCAACTTTTTGAACTTCTTGTTTTTATTGCCTAGAAAGGCGTTTTTTCGCTCTAGAATATCGTAAAAGACATTTTCCTGGCCTATATTGCCTAAAAAAAAAAAGTTGGAAAAATGGCCATTTTTGGACCAAAACCATGGGTTAACCCCTTTGCAAAAATGTCAATTTTTCGACTGTTTGAACTTCTTGTTTTTATAGCCTAGAAAGGCGTTTTTTCGTTCTAGAATATCATAAAACACATTTTCCTGGCCTATATTGCCTAAAAAAAAAAGTTGGAAAATTAGCTATTTTTTAACCAAAACCATGGGGTTTCCCCTTTGAAAAAATGTCAATTTTTCGACTTTTTGAACTTCTTGTTTTTATAGCCTAGACAGGCTTTTTTTGTTTTAGAATATCATAAAAGACATTTTCCTGGCCTATATTGCTTAAAAAAAAAAGCTGGAAAAATGGCCATTTTTGGACCAAAACCATGGGTTTACCCCTTTGCAAAAATGCCAATTTTTCGTTTTTTTGAACTTGCTGTTTTTATAGCCTAGAAAGGTTTGTTTTCTTTCTAGAATATCATAAAAGACATTTTCCTGGCCTATATTGCCTAAACAAAAAAAGTTGGGAAAATGGCCATTTTTGGACCAAAAGCATGGGTTAACCCTTTTGGTAAAACGTCACTTTTTTTCCGACTTTTTGAACTTCTTGTTTTTATAGCTTGGAAAGGCGTTTTTTCCTTCTAAAAAATATTTTAAAAGACATTTTCCTGGCCTATATTTCCTGAAAAAAAAATTTGGAAAAACGGCTAATTTTGTACCAAAACTATTGGTTAACCCCTTTCGATAAATGTTTTTCGACTTTTTAAACTTTTTGTGTTTATAGCCTAGAAAGGAGATTTTTTGTTCTAGAATATCATAAAACATATTTTCCACCCTTTATTGCCTAAAACAAAAAAGTTGGAGAAAGGTGCATTTTTTGAACAAAACTATCGGTTAACCCCTTTGGAACAATCTTATCTTTTGGACTTTTTGAACTTGTTGTTTTTATAGCGAAGAAAGGCGTTTTTTCGTTTTAGAATATGGTAAAACACCGTTTTTTTTTTACAATATTCTAAAACGATTAACGCTTTTCTAGGCTATGAAAACAACAAGTTCAAAAAGTCAAAAAATTGAGACTTTTCCAAATGGGCTTAACCCATGGTTTTAGTGAAAGAAATTGCCATTTTTCCAACGTTTTTTTTTTAGGCAATATAGGCCACGAAAATGTCTTTTACGATATTCTATAACGAAAAAACGCTTTTCTATGTAATAAAAACAAGAAGTTGAAAAAGTCGACCACATTTTTTCTAAAGGGGTTAACGCATGGTTTTGGTCCGAAAATGGCCATTTTTCCATTTTTCTATTTAGGCAATATAGGCCAGGAAAATTTTTTTTTGCAATATTCTAGAACGAAAAACTGTCTTTTTAGGCTCTAAAAGAATGAGATTTTTCCAAGGAGGTTAACCCATGGTTTTGGTCCATAAATGGCCGTTTTTCTAACTTTTTTTTTAGGCAATATAGGCCAGGTAATTGTGGTTCACGATATTCTAGAACGAAAAAACGCATTTGTATGCTATAAAAACAAGTAGTTTAAAAAGTCAAAAAATCGGGATTTTTCCAAAGGGGTTAATCCTGTCAGGAGCCTCCTGACCCTGTAGAAGGCCTAAATGTAAGAAAGTCTTAAATGTAATAACATTTTGTCCTAAATTTAATAAAGTCCTTAATGTGATGATGTAGTAAACTCTTAAGTTGCCAATAACAGTAATTACTCGAATAAACGTTGCATTGAGGGGGGGGAGTTGATTAGTGCTGCGGCGCTTATTCGTGTTAATACGATACTAAGCGGTATTAATATGGTATTTAGCCAATTTTTGACAAAAACCATGGACTAACCCCTTTAGAAAAGTCTCGAGTTTTGGACTTTTTGAACTTCAATTGCCAAATTTTGACCAAAACCATGGACCAACCCCTTTGTGATAAGCCCAATTTTTGGACTGTTTTAACTTGTTGTTTTTATAGTCTAGAAAGGCGCTTTTTCTTTTTAGAATCATGATCGTGAAACACAGGTATAAGTAGCAGGAGGTTAGGCCATTTTTGAGTTAAAATGCATGTTTTTTTTTCTTCTTTCAGGAAGAAAAGTTAAGCTTGTGGATAAAATTTTGCAAGGTAATTATTTATGTGTTATTTTATATGTTAATCGCAAAAAATTATTATTAATTCTCGCTGTTTTTACCTGATTTCTTGTTTATGATTAAATCCAAGATGGTGGCCAAGATGGTGAGCATATTTGGTGACGTGACTGACCTCCAGGAGCGGTACCACCTATGAAATATACCTCATCTTGTGGAGGAGATCAAAGGGTTTCCACTGAAGGTAAAATCATTTCACAATATTGCAACATATTAAAAACCCAAGGGGGGAGGTTCCATTAACTCCCCTCGTACCACGTTGGGAGTATGACTTTGTGTGTACGTCCGAGGGTTAAGAGGTTCGAGGTGCTCTCAACTGCACCTCCATGAACTCATCGTGCTCTTTAACATGTTCGCGTGCTATATGGTCGACTTAAGCACGCTGACTGACGCACAAACCAATTGTTAAATAGCGATTAACGCCTTGAATAGCAAGAAATTTGATAACTGTAATTGTAGGAAATTAATTTGCAATGAGTTCAACGATTTAAATGAAAGTCAAAACGAATTAGCGGTGTGAGCTTGAAACGTTGCTCACAGGACATGCACACAACTTTGCGTTCATCCCATGTCAACAGAACTCGGTGCGCGCTTAAATTGTTCGCCACAACAATGTTCACCACGTAATAATACAAAGAACGTTTATTCAAGCGAATCATTGAGACGTTAACAATTCTGGGAAGTGAAACGATGTGTAACGAAGCGATAAAAGATGAAAACGTTAAATATAATGGAAACAGCGTTAACTTGAGACTTTCTCATGATTTTGAACACGTTTGCAAAAGGTGTTAGCTCAAACAGAGAATAATAGATCTATTTACTTGGTCGATTGTACGTGGGCAAATATGTCCATAGTTTTAACCACAAAAACCATAAAATTATCAAACAAAGAAACTATCAAGACTGGAAAGGAAATACGAAAAACCAGGAAATGTTTGGCAGTAACAAGCGACCTTTTAAGCCATTTCATTTAACTTACTTTCTCTCCTATTAAGTAAAACATTGAAGTTATCAAATCCATCAACTTTACCATTGTCTAAAACTAAAATTTTGTCACAGTCGCTTACGGTATTTAACCGATGAGCTATTGTTATAACAGTGGAGTGCTTTAGCTTTTCATGCACCACGTTCCAAATCGTTTGCTCTGTGTCTGGATCAACATGAGCGGTGGGTTCATCCAAAATGACGATTTTCTTGTTCAGCAAGAGAACACGAGCCAAGCAGATAAGCTGCCTTTCTCCTACACTTAAATTTGCACCTTGCTCCAGTAATTCGTAATCCAACTGCCCCTCTAAATTCTCTACAAGATTTTTCATTTGGACTTGTTCTAAAGCACGCCAAAGATCAGCGTCTTGAAACTGTTCCACTATGTCAAGATTTTTTCTCACTGATCCACTGAACAGAACGGGATTTTGCCCAAGAACGGTTATTGCCTGTCGAGACCCTCGTAGATTGATACTTCTCAACACAACATCATCAATCAAAATGTCTCCTTCAGCTTCAGGCATGCGCGTTAGTGCAGCCACCAACGAAGATTTCCCTGACCCCGTGCGACCCACAACTCCAATCTTAGCTCCTGCTTTGATGCTTAAAGAAATATTCCTTAGAACTTGAGGACCCCCTGGATAATACGCCAATGATATGTCTTGAAAATTGATACTTCCTTTGTCTGGCCACTTTTCCGGGGGACGTCGTTTCACATCGTAACCAGGTTCAGAGTCAAGCTTGGTGTAATCGATAACTCGTTCTACTGCAGTCATTAAATTTTCAACCTCTGTTAATTTACGGACAGCAAATTGTGTCAAATTCACGGTCTGGACAACATAAACAAGAGACAGTCCAACAAAAGCTGCAAGAAGTAAACGAGAAATTTTTCAATTAAGACAAAACTTGAATTCAAACCTCTTTTCTAGACACAAGCAAGATAAACCGGGTTCCAGAATCCGGGAAATGTTTCTTGTGGGATCCGGAATTTTGGGTTTTGCAATCCGTTGTTGAGCTCAAGGAATCCGGAATCTCGCTAACGATTGAAATCGGGAATCCAAGTTCCACTTACAAAGGATCCGCCATCCATTAATCCACAGCGTGGAAACCAGTATCCAAGACTGTCTTGGATCACCTAGTATGGGACGATTTTCCCAAGCAAACGTAAATCTCCCTGTAGATTTTTCCTGTTCAAGTATTTACTTACACAAGACCAGAAAGGTGGGGTAGACGATTGCTTAAGCAGTGGCGGACCCAGGGGAGGGGCCCAGGGGAGGGGCCCAGGGGACCCCCCTCCCCTATTTCTAGACCAAAGTGAGGCCCGAAGGGCCGAAAAAAATTTTTTTGGAGACCAGCCCCACCCCGCCCCCTCTTATCTCAAGCTCTGGATCCGTTACTGTTAAGTAATAAAGAAAACTGATAACATGCAAGGGACACTTCTCGTTCACTTCTCTGAGAGAGTTTTCGGCCTCAAACACCCTTCGTCTTGATTTTCATACTTTTTTATCATACTCATCGTCATCTAGTTTATAAAGGTACCTACCTGGATCTTCGGAAACAAAAACTGCGGCAAGGGCCACTATACCAGTCAACAGAGCGGAAAGAATGTCCAACCGTACACCAAGCCATCGGCCGCCGGCAAGTAACAGGATAAACGATTTTGTATGTACATCTTGACACCTACAGCCAAGAACTAATGATTAATTGCACCTCAGAAGCGTTTACCTACAACATCGTTCGGTTTTGGGTGTTAAGTGTGGAGGGGGTGTGGGAGGAAGGGGTACATTTTTTGTAACTTTATGCCACACTCAAAGGTTTCTGGGTTTTGTAAAAACGATTTGGACCAAAAGCTTCGCTAAAAACATGCTAATAAGAAACATGACTGACTGAAATTAATACAGGCACCCTTGCAGAAACGATCTCGGCCACAGGTTTTGGTTTATTTTAAGGACAACGCGTTCCTCTGTAAATTCATAGCTGCGCCCAAAGTCAACAAAGGTCATTAATGTGCACGACAGATTGATCGCCGGGCATTCTGCACTACAAACGTTACACGGTAGACTTCCTTTCATTTGTAACCATCACCCACGCATTCTCAAAGCAATTAACGGCTTCCTAGCTTTCAATGGCTTCGAAAAGATTTCAAAATTAGGCGAAAACATAGATAACTTTTCAAGATTAAGCACGTCGTCTACTGAATCGAACGATCAACCAGAACTTTCCAACATGCTCGCACCATGCAAAATTTGTCCTTTCATTGAAAACATAGACGAACTTTCTACACCAAATGCAAAACGGTCTGTATTTATCACTGACAGATTCATAGATGTCATTCATCGCTCCAAGAATAATGTGGAATCCGGAATTCTGGGTACCCCTCGGACGTCCAAAGGGGGGGGGGGGTCGGATGCCACCCCACCCCCATAAGGTTTTTCTGAGTTTTTTTCCTGGAGGATAAAACATCAGCACCTGACGTTTTCAGTACCTATTCGTTCATCCCTCTCGGAGATTTTGAGACAAGTTTAGAGATGGTCAGTTGTTATGGTTACGAGATATGACGTCATAAGTTGCAGGTGGTCAAGCCAATTTTGGGTGAAAATGCATGTTTTTTCAACTTCTTTAAACAAGAAAAGTAAATCATGCAAAGTGCTGCCTTATTTATGTGCTAGTTTTTATGTAAAGCACGGTTTTAATATGATTTTTAATTCTTGGTAAAATCAAAGATGGCAACCATTGTTGGTGACGTCACAGGCCTCCAGCAGCGCTGCCACCTATAAAATATATCTCATCTTGTTTAGAGGATCAAAGGCTTTGCTAAAGGTAAAATCGTTTCAAAATACTGCAACATATCAAAAACTCCAGGAGGGTTCCATCCACCCCTCCTCCCACCTTGTACCACGGTGGGGGTATGAATTTCCGTGTACGTCCGAGGGTGGGTTAACATAAAAGGAGATACTCTGTGAAGGTATAAATACCTCTGAAAGCGAGAAACAAAATCTTTCTCTCTTTTTCGTGTCCTTATTGTGTCGAGTCCATCCAAGGTTTCCGAAATATGCGAATAGACAGGACTGCGGCAGATAGACTCCAGCCTTTGAAGCTCTCTAGATGTCTTTAAGTAATACCTTGAAAAAAGTCCTGCCGACACAGCTATTGGCACAACAGCAAACAGAACCCAAGGGTTGGTGATAGTTGGTAGAAGAATGGACGTGAACAAGAGCGGGAACAGCTGGACTGATTGCAGAAACGTTTTAGGCAATACTTCATCCATGCATCCAATATCTCTGGAGAACCGATTCAAAATTCTTCCCACGGGGTTTGAATCAAAGAAGAAGACCGGTGCATGTAGAACCGCAACAACCATTTTGTCATGGAGACGCTCGGAACTCCTTAAGGATACCAAGTAGAATCCAAACGCTCGGATGACAAGTAGTATGAAAGCTGCACCGACAAGACCTCCATAGATCGTCAAGTTCCGTTTGTCTCGTTGATATTCTGGTCGTTTCCTTACCATCAACGACAGCCAAACGTCGGGGGACACTAACATTGCTAAAAAAAGTGGTATATATTTTGTAACAGTACCTAGCACGGTTGAAAGTAAGTGCATTCTTCAAGTGTAAAGTGAAATCAGAAATTAAACTAAAACCTTGTAGATGCGGATTTCTGATGGGGATTTAAATTACAAAAAAGTCGTAAAAAAAGTGAATTATATCTGCCCTCACTCGCCGTTATGCAATTTTAACTGCATCGCGTTTACACACGATCCGTTAGTGGTAGAAACTCAAGTTTCAATCACTACTTAGTCATCACTAAAACGTCTTCTACAGAGCTTTATTGAACTTTTGGGAGTGCACTGGTGTAAGTGAAGGGTGCGTGTGTGTTTTACCTTGGAATGAGGACAATGAGACTCAATGAACTATCGCCCTAAATGGTGGGGGGAGAGGGAGAAGGAGAACGACTATGCGTGGACCCTGCGAACGAGCTTGCCGAAAATTTGAAGGCTAAGAAAATAATTCCACCGTTTTGCGGTGGATTTTGTTGTTGTCAATGCTTTAAAACAAGATCGCTCAAACCTTCTGTTACCTTGGGTAATAAAACAGAAACAAATTCCTGCAATGATCACGGGCAAAGGAGTTCCGCTCCTGAAGTAGTTCCAATAAAGTTTCGTGGACACCAGTCCGTCCGCACAGTCTTCTTTTGACACGCGAAGAGCCTTGAATTCATTGGCGTTGGGCATGGTTCTCTCACACAAGTCCGAAATCTCTTTCTCTCCAGTACCAGGTTCTGCTAAGCTTTCACTTGATTCTTTGTCTTTCTTATACAACGGATCAACAGTGGTATTTAGAAGCCCCTTTGCTTTCAGTTCATCAAAACTTCCCTTACCTAACATTTCGCCTTTTAGTAACACAATAACATCATCAGCTTCTCTCATTAGTTGCTCGTGATGAGAAGCGATCAATCTGGTTTTTTGTCCTAGCAAGCCCATGATGCAGTTCGTGAAGATGTGCCGGCCAACGTTGAAATCTAAAGCACTAAGGGGATCATCTAACAAGTAAAGGTCTGCATCGGCATAGACTGCGCGTGCTAAGCTTACTCTTGCCCGCTGGCCTCCACTAAGGGCTACACCGCGCTCTCCAACAACTGCTTTGTCACCATCGGGAAACTGCTGGATGTCATCTCCTAAAGCACAAGCTTAGATCACTCTAGAGTACTTGGATTCCTCGTAGGGCTCTCCAAACAAAATGTTTTCTCTGATCGTTCCAGAGAATAACCAAGCAATCTGTGGCACATAAATAATAGTTCCTCTGCAGGATATGGCTAATTTCTTGCTTGTTCCCTCGCCAGCGATCGTTGCGAGAAGAGTCGACTTTCCACTTCCTACTGGCCCGCTAAGAGCTACCAAACTGCCTTTCTTAGTGGTGAATTCTACATTCCGTAAAATGAATCCTTCATCTCTATCTTTCTCCTGTTGCATGGCATTTTCAACAAGTAAGATATGATCCTGTTCTAATTCTGTTACTTTGCGAGTAACTGGCACGTTTTCGCTCTCTTCTTTATTTTTTCTCGTAGGGCTAGTTGAGGTTAGATTGTCTAAAAGAAGAAAGTCTTGAATTCTACTCAGGGAAACATAAGCGTCATATGACTGAAGAAAACCATAAGCCAAGTTTACGCAAAAATTCTCTCGAAGTAAATTGATAAGGGAAAGCAAAATGAATGCGTCTACTGGTGTAAGCGGCTGACCAGTTAGTGAAAGAGAGACGACTGTCACCAAGACCGCCATTGGTGTTGAAATGTACTCCAAAGTAGCAATGGTCGATAAAATGGCGCTCTTTTTAAGGATGAAGCTGACTTCTTGCCTGTAAAAATATGAATTTTATTTTCGTTACTATCTAATGATAAAGGGTATTGTGGCTCCAATTCTTCAATTAAAGAACAGCAGCAACAGCAACATTTCAGGGTTCCACTGATAACCTTTTTAGGCACTTGATAACATTCCAGTATTTTAATGGATTTTGTGGTAGTTAATCAGACAATGTTAAACTTAACTTGGTGTGTCAACTATTTCAGTCTTACTTATGCGCACTCGGTATTGAAACAGCCGAGTGCCTTTTAGAATGAAGGTCTCTCACGAGAGATTTCACGCTTTATGCATGTAACCTGTAATTTACTGATTTCTTTATTTGGTAAATAAAAGAAGAGTTGCACGCGCAAGCTTCTCCGAGTTCTTATGCTAATGATTGCTTTGTTGTTGTCAATAAGCTACATGCAAACGGACGCAATAACTCCCAAAATTGGTTGGCCAACAATGTTCAGAGTTGTTGCGTCCGTGTTGGCCGTGGTGTGCAAACGGATGCAGCAACTACCAACAAAGTTGGGACCTACAGTGCATCGTGGGAAGGATACAACCCATAAGTCTTTGTAAACCATGCGTAATGAGCGTGCGTGGCCACAACAATGTTGAACGAGCTGTGCAAACGGATCCAACACTACGCTTCGCCGATAGGATGAAGCTGACTTCTTGCCTGTAAAAATATGAATTTTATTTTCGTTACTATCTAATGATAAAGGGTATTGTGGCTCCAATTCTTCAATTAAAGAACAGCAGCAACAGCAACATTTCAGGATTCCACTGTTTACCTTTTCAGGCACTGGATAACATTCCAGTATTTTAATGGATTTTGTGTTAGTTATATTAATCATACAATGTTAAACTCAAATCGCTGTGTCAACTATTGCAGTCTTATGCGCACTCGTAATTGAAACAGCCGAGTGCCTTTTAGAATGAAGGTCTCTCACGAGAGATTTCATGCTTTATGCATGTAACCTGTAATTTACTGATTTCTTTATTTGGTAAATAAAAGAAGAGTTGCACGCGCAAGCTTCTCCGAGTTCTTATGCTAATGTTTGCTTTGTTGTTGTCAATAAGCTACATGCAAACGGACGAAATAACTCCCAAAATTGGTTGGCCAACAATGTTCAGGGTTGTTGCGTCCGTGTTGGCCGTGGTGTGCAAACGGATGCAGCAACTACCAACAAAGTTGGGACCTACAGTGCATCGTGGGAAGGATACAACCCGTAAGTCTTTGTAAACCATGCGTAATGAGCGTGCGTGGCCACAACAATGTTGAACGAGCTGTGCAAACGGATCCAACACTACGCTTCGCCGATCACGGAAGAAAAGAAATGTTGGAAGTTATTGGCTCAAAAGTTTGACTAGTTTTAAACTTTGCGCAACAGCTTTCACGCAACAACGTGCAACAGGGTGTGCAAAGGGACGCAACTTGTAACATCCAACAATGTTGGGAGTTGTTGGCCGACAAGGACGCGTCCGTTTGCGCGGGGCTTTACAACTTGAAATAAGGCCTCTGTTTAATTTTTCACGGTTATACATGGTTTTAAGAACTACATTTTCGTTTATCAGTTAAGCCGACAGAAAATAACCCAAATTGTCCCCCGATTCATGGTTAGTAGCAAATATTTTCTCACCTTCGTACATTCCTTATCTTTTGCTGGTATTCCTCTTCCCATGCATATGATTTGATAGCGCGAATGCCAGAAATTACCTGGCTGATCAACGAAATGCGGAGATCAGAAACTGCAGCTGTGCGAAAGCGTAGTGCGGCGCCAGCGTAAGACAGACCACCAAAACATGGTAGGAGTATACATAGAAGGGTGATTCCCATTGCAGACTGCCAGCCAATGAAATGAAGGAGCAAGGAGGAGACCATAACGAGCTGAAGTATGCAAAAAGGTATGTTGAGAAACAATTTCACTGTATCTGCTTCAAGTCGCTGAACATCGTTGGATACAAGATCAATCACCTGACCAGTTGAGAACCTTAACAACGAGTCCTTGCTAAGTAGAAGCACCTGCTCGAAGATAAAGGATTAATTTACTCTTATGAAGCGGCAACACAAAGAATCATTTTTTGCAGTAAAGCACAGCTAGTTACGAGCGAAATAAGTATACGTGAAGCCAAAGGCATAAAACAATCAATATTTGGTAACTGATTTTTTCATATATATACAAATGGTAGCAGTATTGGTTTTTATATATTCATGTTAATTAGCACTCTTTCCCTGGACTGCCTCTGCAGAATTCAAAAGAAATTTTACCTCAAAACAATCTAATACGTGCCTATTGTCATGAAGAGAAATGCCTGCAAATCTTAATTCACTTCGTCTAAAATTTTAGCAGCACTCCCAGGTCAGAAACTATTTTTCGTCAGATTTCTTTTCGTATTTCTTTTCTTTTCCTTTCCTTTTTATTTTTTTTAATGTCTACCCAAGACTTTTATTTGAGACGTAACTATCCGCAAATCTTGGTCTGGAAATTCATAAAAATATAGCAACAAAGGATTCGAGCATTGTTGTTGCGACTCCTGTTGAGCAAGACGGACGTCATAAGCTCACTAGTTCGCACCAGTGCGTAGCAGTAGGAGTAAGGTCGCATGGTGGGCCCTTACCAAACCCCCCACTTTTTGGGGGGAGTATTTTTTTTTATGAGGAACGGTACCCACCTACCCCTCTTCAGGAATAGGCCTCAGTTCAATTACAGTTGAGTATGAGCTAGTATGCCACCAGCACTGTTAACTGTTGCACCGAGTGTCACTTTCAAATTCAAGTCCTCGGTGAATGTGTTTATACGGTATTACCAAAAACTTAACTTAAAACTTTGTTGGTTATCTATACTCCCAAAGATAAAAAGGCCACTGACCAAAAAGAAGATAAAACTTCTGTTCAATTCATTTCAGCTACACTGGAATGTTCTACGTGCTTACCTTCTCATAGACTAATCCTTTGAGGGCACCACTGATTTTGATTCCAATCATCTCACACTGATAGCAAAAATGGTGGATATTGAGAGCCGCGAACAATTCAGTTATTCCAATTCCCAAAGCGCAGGCGTAGAGAAAATAATTATGCTTTTGGTCAACTTTTCTCAAAGATTCAATGAGATATTTAAGAAGTAGTGGCTGGAGAATGCCAGAAAATGTACGCAGACTGCCAGTTAAAGCGACAATGATGGCCTCTTTAATAGAAATCATGTTCAACACGCTTTTCCAGAGTTTAGGTGATCCTCTACCATGTCGTTTGCTAGACTCTCTTTCTTTCTTCCAATTTGACTGAAGCTTTTCGGACAGAAAGGAGGTACTGTTTTCTTCTTTGAGAGGTAAGAGATCATTTTCATCTATAGCTCGTCTACTTCCTTTCTTAAATATAATGCTCATCCATTGAAAAAATAGAGAAGAAAAGAAGCTGATCTTTTCCTCTTGTACAGTCTCTGTGATTTTTTCGTACCCACAATTCTTTGTCATATTTTACTCGTGTAGCGATCTAAGAGGAAAAATGACATCCCAAGTAGCGCAGAACTCGAATAAGAAGACCAAGTATCACCTCTCAGATTCGTTCAGCACAAGACTAGAAATCACAGGATTATATATTAGGACAATGGTCACAAGACTAGAAATCACAGGCAACGACAATGGTACGAGCTATTTATATTCTGCTTCATTAAGGTAGTCAGGCATATCCCAAGAATATAGAAGAGATCCTGGGGTACTCGCATTTGCATGCTCAATCAAAGAAAAACGAAACACCAATCAAATGAATCATTTCATAAATGTTGAACATTTCAGAGACTTTGTGTGCCGCTAGTTGATAGCAACTTTGCAGCTGTTTCGGCCGAGCCACTGGCGATGGTGTTCATTTTTGGAAATTCAGCCAGGTGGAACATGATTTAGAAGCTAAATCGTCTTCCCGTCACTTGGCTTGCCTTTCGTTCTTTCTTTCTTTCTTTCCATTTCTTTTCTTCTTTTTGGAAGAAAAAAGAATAATTTCGAACCCCAAAAGTAGTGATCACTATACAGTCTGATGCTATGGCTTGGGTCTTATCTTACAGCCCAAATAAAATCAAGCAAACGGCTTCAGAGTGATCTGCCTCCCAGGTCAAAACTTTCATTCCAAATTCATCGACAGATACTTGGTTTAAAACAGAGGTTTTCGTTATGTTGATGTTGATATATGAACAGAAGTTGTAAAGAAAATTACCTACCTGGCGCTCTTTAAAATTTTTGCCCATTGGGGAACACAATGCATTTACATCTGAAACAAAGTTCCCTACAATTTAGGTATACAAGGTGAATTTGCATATATTATTTCGATCGCAACGAAGGTTATCATGATCAGCCATGCATCATGCAGGGTATGTTCGTTGAACCACCAAGCCACATTTTGAGTATTAATCATAAACCAGAAAACGTTTGAAATGAGATCAATGTTTTCACGTTCGTCTACTTGCAGAATCAAAATAATGAAAATAATCCAGACCCAAGAATCATTTTTTACACCCCAAAGCCCCGAAGGGCCCATATTGTTCATTGTCTGTAACTCACAATAAAAGAACATAATTAAATGACTTCTTAGAAACATTTCCACGGATTGAATATACAAAGCAACAACGGGATAAATTAAAAAATTTTTCAGTAGCATTTTTCCCTCATGGCAAAAGTTTAAATGCGTCCCTTGTGCCATTTAATGAGAAGTCCTCAGTGTGTTCGCTATTGAAGTATGGCTTCAAGGGTGAGATTTGCTAGGCATGAAAGAGTTTCTCAAGGTGATAGCGAGGACAAAAAAAGAGATCAAGCAAATAAATTCCACTCATTATTCGATACTACAGATGCCATGGTGAGGAGCTCTTAGCGGGGTTTCGTATGCCCGGCGGGGGGAGCGGTATATAGGTATGTCAGTGCCGCTGTGAAGTCTATGGTTTTCAAGCAGTTTACTCTGGGATAGGGTATATAAATCAGAGAGTTTGGGTCTACAACAGGGTATTATTTTCAGCAAACTGATCAACTGGTTGAGGATTTTAGTCTAGAACATTAAAATAAATCAAATCGGCTTTGTTTTTGTGGCTGGACTGTGCTAGTGACCTCAGTATTTTCTAGAAAACAGCTACTCTAGAATAGGGGGGATTTGGGGAGTTTAGTCTAGTATAGGGTAGGCTAAGGGTTACAGGATCCCAGCGGTAGGCTTTGTTTTTGTGGCTGGACTGTGCTAGTGACCTCAGTATTTTCTAGAAAACAGCTACTCTAGAATAGGGGGGATTTGGGGAGTTTAGTCTAGTATAGGGTAGGCTAAGGGTTACAGGATCCCAGCGGTACATCCCCACCCAAAAATTCCTAAAAATTCCAAAAATTCCGTATGTTTCTAGTTTGAATTTCAAAACCTGACATTTCGCGCTTTGAGGAAAAAGCCATGCCGCTGTCGGTATTTCACTATTGTATTTGCACTTTCTTTGTTGCTGTCGTAGTTTCAATTCGTCTTATGTCATTCTTAATGTCGCCATTTCTGCTTTCCCATGTTGCTGTTTCAAGGCCGTGTCGCATGTCGGAATTTAACTCAAACAGGGCCTGGATGGTAGAAATGATGCTGGCAGGATAAGCTCTTTTCGGCTTTGGTAATTTAACCGATAATATAATCATTTGGAAACAATTTCGACGTGGTCACTTGTCGAGACAAAAAAAGCATTTCGTCGCCCGGGGGAAAAAAATCCTCAAAGGAAGCAATCATGCGTGATCTTACGGATTAACTCACGATAACTTTTGATTGCTAATTGATCTTTTCTTCTTTTTCTTTTTCGAGAGTAACCTCTGCAGCGAGGAGCCGACGTGGTTTCCTTTAATCATGCCCTTTTGCCACCCCCAAATTCTTGGAGTTGGTCAGGAGACTAACATGTTTGAAGACCGGTTTTCACCAGTTTGTTTGTTCAAAGCGCGCAAAAGAAAAAATAATCATAATAACAATAAAAACACGACATTGTGGGGTGTGACTGTTCATTCGTCCAGTAAGGAATTTGCATGAAAAAGAGTTTAGTTTCCAGTTGAAGTAATCGGTTTTGTTCTCAATTCTTCTGTTCCTCTGAATTTCAGTTGTAAGCCAGTAAAGGTGGCGGACTATATAGGAATGATTTTCTTTCACAATTTGCTTTTTTCCGTTTCTTTAATTTAGTATTGACCTTCCTGTTTTGGTTAAGTCAGTTTCCTGTTTCGTATTTTGAACTTCTATATGTCCTAATATAACATAACCTTGGCATACAATACTAATAAATTGTTCAAACACCTTCAAAGAATTCTGTCACGATTTTTGAATTTATTTCAGTCGAGCTTCCATACGCGACTATTCTCTTAAGAGACTTTTCATAAGAATCAAGTATTCTGGAAAACCAAAATCAACTGCCCTAGTCACTAATTAATTGGCGCGCTAGCCTCTCGTGAAAGTTCACCTTCCGTAACGGCGACCACCAATTAATCTTGGCATTTGAGCTGTGATGAGCTGATGGGGGGCGGGTTGATTAGTTTGCTAGAAAGCCCTCGAGCGGCGGGAGCTGGTGCATGGGGGAGGGAAAAGAGAGACTCCTTACTCCGAAAACCCGCCTCCAGAGGTCTCGCACGCAGGCTAAGCTTGGACTGTATTTTGTAACTACCAAAATTGTCTCAAACTGAATGAATCCGGATCAAAAGATTTGCCTGCTGAGAAAAACACCAACTAAAGGGTAAACTATAAACGAGTGAAATGAGGTTTAAAACGAAGGACTTCACAGTGACATTAACAACGGCAATGTTGAACCAATTGAACCTTCAATATCTGGTGATGTTATTCTCCTTTTTTTACTATTATATATTATTTTCATTAACATTATTTACTGTGGACAAATATCAAGGCAAAAGATTTTCATTAACAAACGGAACATAGGCACAATTCGAGAGAACCTGCCAACTGTTTCAAGAAAATTATCAAAATTCAAACAGTAGGAACTACCACAAAATTGAGCGAGGAAAAACAATATCAAAAGAAAGTAGCCTTTATACTTTTACAAACGCAAAAAAAGGCACAAATGGATTAATTAAAGATTAATAAAGCCGGAATACAATTGTGGTTTTTGAAAACTTGTTAGCCTAACAGTTTTTTCAGTGTTCATTTTTGTTGTTTTTAAATAACAAAATAAATAACATATGATCGTTTGATAAGACAAGAAGCTGTGATTTATTCATTTACAAATAATATCTTTGCTAACGTTAAGTTCCATGGAAAATAATGGAACCTAATTGGTAATATTTACAACGTGGTCACGAAAAATACAACCGTGATACCACCCCCTTTAAAACCGGATTTTGTAGACATCCAATGGTATAAACTCTATTACAGATATCATTATTTTCGCAAAATATAATTGATGATACCAATCAATAGTAAATAGAAAATGTACAGTTCAGTGCTTACGAAAACACACTGATATTTGTTTATACGAAAGTTACTTAAAAGGTACCCAATATTGCTGAAACGTGGATCATTGTTTCACTGAGGTACTTGAATATCATATCACTTCAGTTCAGTTTTATTTAGCCAAAGTAAATTACCAGGCAAGAATACATATGAGAATTGTAAGTTGGCAAGGGAGTCCAGAAGAAAACAGAAGGCTTATGAAGCCTGCATGGGCTCCCCAGTCACAAAGAAATAAGTGCCCTTGTCCTGTATAGTTAACTAACTACAGTAGTTATGACTGAAAGTTTCACGTGATAAATAACTTGCGTGAGTTTATAAAATAGGGAAAAAATATCGTTCGGGGTTAAATATTGAACTCAACTTTCTAACAGGAGACAGGTAAAGAGAAACTGCTGGTGAATATCGGTTTGTCAGTGACTAGGGAGACATCAGTTATAAATATAGGGCCTCTGGCGCAACCACAAACTTTCAACTTTCAACCAGATAGGTGCAAATCAATGCAAAATATATTGTATCTCTACATATATTTAGGAATCACCATTTCTTTTTCATTTCTACTTTTTTATTTTTTTATTTATTTTAGTTTGGGTAGCAACATGGTGTCAGCACAAATTTCTCAGTGCATCGTAATCTAGAGAAAGAGCAGACAAACCTTTTCTAGGGCCTTAGCTTTAAAACCTTGACTCGCAAAATGAATGAAGTAGTCTTGTAAGGTAGTTCTAGCGTTTGAGTGTGTGAATAAAAACCTTAAATTTGGCCATTCCATTGAGTTACTGAGCAGTACGTTGCTCTGGTGCTTTTATCTATGCTGCGCAAGGTTAATTGGAGTTGTCGCAAGTCGACCCTAAAAGTTTCACAGCAAACCTCTAAATCAATCAAAGCTTGCTTTTTAGGCCGAAAGGCGGCCGAGCGAGTGACCAAGTCGCGAGAGGTCGCCCTGCGGGCTCTATTAAACAGCGCGAAGGACTTCTTTGAAAGTTTAAAGCTTAGGTGGTTCTGGCCGTTAAGTCAGTCGGGTCAAATCCTGTGGATCGGACATTCAGATGAAACCAGTCATAAATAAATTTCATTCGCATTGGTAATATTCGATCAAGCTAGACTTTTCTAGGATTTAATTAAAGGCACGCGGGTGTCAGCTGCGCGCCCGAGATCGATTCATTCCCTTTTTGGCGCCTTTTTGTTCCAGTTTGAGCTTAGAGAAATGAGAGAGAATGTGAATAGTTAAAAACATGCCTTACTCGAAATTCCTAAATATTTTCATTGTTATGGGTGTTTTAATTTCCAACGTACTAACAAACACTGTGAAAGAAATATTGCAACATGAAGTGTTTGAATGAGCAAGTGCCAAGAGATGCCCATATTCGATCACTACCAGAGAGTGTAATCTCTGTCCATTACACATATTACACTTGTTACCAGTAAGATGAAAGTGTTAGACACCCGAGTGATTTCCTTTCCTTTAGTCAGTTATTGTTCTGTTCCAAAGTACCCATCAGCAAATCAATGCCAGCCATAGTTTCGGCAAACAGGGCGAGGTCTGCTCTAAAAGCTCCGTCAACAAACGCCGCAGCCAGCACGATGACTTTTCCACTGCCACTCTCATTTATTTTTTCTGCCATCGCAAACAGTTCCTTTCTTGTGCATCTCAGTATTTTGCTCGTCGTCATCAACGACATAGGGTAACCAAGCTTTGCCATATAAGGTGATATCATCAACTGAGCTAAAGCCCCTGGAAGCCTGCAGTTTAGATCTACCAGATAACGCTTTCCGTTCTTCTCTAAAATCTCTATGTTGACTATTCCAAAGTACCCAGAAGAATGAAGAAAGTTTTTGATTGGTACAATAAATTCTTCGTAAACCGCTTTCTTTAATTCTTCTTGCCTGGTCCAGTCACCCACTCCAGCAGCCCAATTGAAATAGTTTGAATCAGCCCCGGTCAAGCTGCCCAACCAATGGATGTCACCTGATTTGAACACGTAGAAATAATATCCCATAGTCACCGCATCGGGGATATATTCTTGCAAAACGTACTTTCCCTTCCAGTTGCACTTGTTTCTAACCTCTGCCACCACTTCCTTTAGCTGTTGTGAATCACGAACCAACCAGTTTCCGCAACCACCTCCCGACTGGTCCACTTTGAGCATGCAGGGAAACGAAACGTTATCCTCCTTCAGGAGTCGAGGGTTGGGTACTCCAATTCTTGGGATTGTACTTTTACAGAGCAACTCATGATGCAAATCAGGATCGATGGCGTGCTTCAGAGCTGGCAAAGACTGCAGCGGTCCAGCGGTAACGACTGGAATGTCGTCAGCGAAGCCTTCTTCAACAGACTTCACATGTGCGGCTGGAAAAACTGGCAACCACTTTTTCCAGTGATTTGATTGGAGGGTATCAGGCTTGATATCTGACAGGCTGGGAACGGCGTCGCCAATCGTTGCCAGATGTCTGATTGGTCGCATTATATCCGACTCTTTCGTGTCCCTCAACGCGTAGTCGAAATACATGTACTTCTTGTCGTTATAGAGCCTGGATCCTTTGCAATAGGAAGAGCGGAGATACGGCAAAAAGTAGGCTTTATCCAAGTCTTTGACAATAAGCTGACTGTAGGAGTATATCGTGTTATCGTTGGCCATGACTTACTTGATAGATTCACCAACTGTCTTGTCGACGTGGCAGTGCAAAAGTAAATGTTGTATGATGTGTCGATTCAGCAATGCTGACTGTGGTATGATCGATACGAAATATAGCAGCAAACTAAAAGTGCTTGAGAGCATCTTATATGACGTCGTCAAATTTGACATATTGGTGTGGCAAAAAGAATAAATGGCGGCCATATTGGTGTACCAAGCCAATCCTAGTCTATATTGGTATTACTAAGCCAATCCTAAACTCTTTTTGGATGCTAAGCATTTCTTTCGTTCAAGGAGGTAAGACGAGACTCAGTTGTTGTCCTATTACCTTTGACTCTCGCCTTTCGCCAGTTAGTCTGCGAAAACAGCCGTTTCCCACCGCTCCTCGCCGCTGGGGACGTTTCGCGAGGAGGAACGTCTGCGACTCACCGAAAGAAATTCTATACTGATGACGTAAAATCTGTCTGTCAAAAGNAAATATAGCAGCAAACTAAAAGTGCTTGAGAGCATCTTATATGACGTCGTCAAATTTGACATATTGGTGTGGCAAAAAGAATAAATAGCGGCCATATTGGTGTACCAAGCCAATCCTAGTCTATATTGGTATTACTAAGCCAATCCTAAACTCTTTTTGGATGCTAAGCATTTCTTTCGTTCAAGGAGGTAAGACGCGACTCAGTTTTTGTCCTATTACCTTTGACTCTCGCCTTTCGCCAGTTAGTCTGCGAAAACAGCCGTTTCCCACCGCTCCTCGCCGCTGGGGACGTTTCGCGAGGAGGAACGTCTGCGACTCACCGAAAGAAATTCTATACTGATGACGTAAAATCTGTCTGTCAAAAGTGCTGATTGGTCGGCGGAGTAGTTACATTGTTTTAGGTATTGTTTACGAATGCCAGACAAAAGGCCACAAAGGGCAAATGTAAACGCGATGAATCTCTAACAAAACAGTCAATATTTGTCGAATATATTCTTCTCTGGAAGAAGCATTTGAGTTTTGCTGGAGCTGGTTCGCAGATGAACACAAAAAATTTATCAAAATCGACCAGGAGAAACGTAAAATTGAACAAATTTGCATTAGAAACCCCATGACTACCGGATTTATTATGTAAATATTGATTTACGTCATCAGTATGGAATTTCTGCCGCTGAGACGCAGACGTTCTTCCTGGCGAAACGTCCCCAGCGCTGTTTTCGCAGGCTACTCGCCACTCAGACACTGCAAAGCAATGGATAAAAACTTGGAGTGCCTTGTAGAGACTTGAGTGCAATTTGGTTTTGACGCCAAAAGTCAACTCACCCCAAACCAGAGTTATGCCGCCAGAAAATTTCATTTGTATGTAAAATTGGCACAAAGAGAGCGCTGAAAATGGCCAAGTATATAGTTGTCGTTCAAACTCTGATAGTTGTCGTTAAAACAACCCAGTCTAGCCAACTTAAGAGGTGAGGTTCAGTTTAAGGAAATAAGACTAAGAACCTGTGTACAGTAATATGATTTCAAAACCCAAACCTTCCGTGATTAAAAAAACAATCGCATCAAACGGTCCGCGTCGCTTCATAAAAGCGTTTTCATATCATATTCGACTCTCCGCACTGAACCATGAAAACACACTCTAAATACCTATACATGTATATACAATGAGAAATGCGAAATACCCTATATATGCGATGAAAAACACGACATAAAATTGCTGTTTTAAACAAGAGATGCACTTTCCGTCAGTTAATCCGTCAATGTAAAAACGGGGCGGTGTTCATTTTCAACGAATAATAAACATAATTTCCTAGGCTTCTATTACACTTACAGGTACCTCGACCTTGATTACTACAGATATCACAAAAACCCAATCTAAAATTTTTTTTAACGTACATTGTTTCAAAGAAAATAATGACAAACACTCCATTGCACGGAACACAGTTTCACATTGCTCTTGGAAATCATGCATTACGCGCAGACCTTAGTCAGTTGTCTACTAGCAGATAACTAACGATTCCGTAGGTTGCGCTGATTTCCATGTAGGCTCTTGAGAGAATCCAGATAGTGAGTACGATGTATAATAATCTGTCTAATTAGACCAGTGTCCTTTTTCGTCTGTTGAAACATATTTTGAAGCTGGACTATCGGTCTGTCCCCTTTCAATAACAAGAATAAATGTATGGACTCTCCAAGAAGGCAAAGAGGGATCGAAAGTTCCCGTTAGCAGAGATTTGACCGTATAAAGTTATACTATATAAAAAGGAAACCATAAAATGATTATCACGTAACTATAATATCCAGATAATTTTAATTAACATTTCATTTACATACAGTTTTCGTTATAACAAAGTAGCTTTTTTCCGGTTATCCTTCTTTTCATGACGGCACCTTGTGGATAGCAATGGTGACATTCCCTTCAGATCTGATAAACAAATTACTGAAAAAGAAGGGTGAAAACACCGTGTAAGGGAATCTACATTAAGCGGTCACATGAATACAGTTTCCCTTGATTTGAGACCTCCCAACGATCCCAGGCAACTCTGAGGTCTTAGGTCCCGAGGAGTCCGTGGGGAGGTGGGGTGAGAGAAGGTGTACGCTTATATAAAGTATCTACGTACGTGCAGAAAGGGTGTGGTTTCATTAAGCCCTTTTGGTGAGAAATGGAGTATAGACTTTTTTAAAATCTAGGGTAATTTATTGTTATATGGAGCTACGATCTGGAATCGGGTATGTTTTTTATTATCAAATAATTATTTCTTGACTCTGAAATAGTGCAGGGAAAATCTCATATTGGTCTCTGATCGGATCATTCGGATGCTGTACAGCCCCATCAAAATTTTCCAGGACTACCCGCCCCCTTCCCCCAAGCTCTTACTATGTAATGTCTTATTTTCTCTCCCTTACCCCAGTCGACTGTATAGCCCAGAGTGCACGTTTTTTTTTTCGCTCGGTATTTCTCGTAGTTTCAATCTTTGATTTGAAAGCAGAGGAACAATGGAGAGAATAATCAACTCCTTTCAGCCCCTTGCCTACCTCCTGTACCCTGTACACCATAACCCAGCTAATTCTAATGCTTGCCTCAGAACCACAATCCCCTCCTTCCCAACCCTAACCCCCCCCCCCCCAACCAGGCTTAAATTTCTTTTTACTTTCTATCACAAAATTCTTTTGTTGATTTACATTAGTGGTTAAAGCTGTAAAAGGCATTCCACATGGCTTTTCCACAAAGGTGACCACCATTCACATACAAATTCTCCAAACTGATCTCTATACATTGTCATAAAGAATAAGTTGAGAGAATTTGGTAGAGGATCAAAGCTTTTTCTCTTAGGTGATTATTTTATCAATTCTGTCTTGGTTGTGTATTAATATCGTTAGGAGAAAATTGATACTCATCACTTTTGGGACTTAAAGGGGTTTAAAGGTTTGACTGTACGTGTACATAGAGGTCGGCAAAAATTGACAGCTTAATGTAAATGACAAAAAAAATGTGAGATCATAAATTATAGATACATGTAACTATCACACTTCATTAACTTGTCATCACAGAACTAGTTTTGTTTTCCTGTGTCTTGATATTTCTCTTAACAAATAGAGAAACTTTTTAACTTCTCAAGAGAATCCATACATTACATGTATTATTATTTTATCATTATCATGACTATTTTTTTGTATCTTTACATTATCATTATTTTTTTGAAATTACAGCAACACAAACAAAGACACAAAGAAAAATTGCAGCCTGCCAGTGTGAGAAATAATAATTGCTGATCAGTTTGCCATACAGGTTTTCACAGGAAACAGGGTCTGGAAAAGGGGGCATTGACGCCACACTCCTGCTCCTTTTTCACGACAATCACGCACCCCGCTATTTTTTTCATTGCTTTCCCAAATTCCTGACATTTTGTTTGCAAAAACAATAAAATAAATTCAAAAAACTGCAAAGGGAAATTAATGACTTCGTTTGAAGGGAGACACCACTTAATGCGCACCTGATTGATTCATGTTTGTAGCTTATACGTATGGTTTCCCCAATTCCCCACAAACAGGCAAGAAAATCCTAGACTATGAGTAGTCCCCCATTTTTCCTCAGGGACAGTAGGGGTGATTTTCACGCGCGCTTGCAATTCGCTCGCTCTACTATCCCTGAGGAAAAATGGGGGACTACTCATAGTCTACGAAAATCCTGCATCCCATGCTTAAATTCTGGCAAATCCCAGGGTAGTTATCCAGCTTCCTGGGTAGCTGTAAAATCCCATTTCCTGCTAAGATATGCTGCATTTTCCCAAACCGCGTACCATATTTTGGTCAAATCTTGGATCCCAAGACCCTGAGGATATGTGTGAATTCAGTTAATGAATTTTGATGGTTATTCAGCCAATGACAGTTAAAGTTTTGAAAACAACTAACATAATGTGATGATGTTCAATGTACACTAAATCAATCATGTTTCTTAAAATTTCAACCAAAAAGTCGCTTAGGACTTTCTTGCATACACCCCTACATAAATACAATAACCAAAAAAACTGCATTTTAAGTTCCTCTAGAGAAGAGAAGAGGAGAAGATGCCAAAGATATACATTAAAAGGGATAACACAATATTGAATTCCCCACACCCAGCTTCTCTCTTCTATACATCTATGCCCCCACCCCCTTTACTGGGCTGTGCAAATATGGGCTGTGATCAGATCCAAGTAGATTCTGTCTTTTACTAAGACACTTTTTGTACAAAGCCAGTATTCAATTTGGGCAGCATTTTTTTCTCACTGACATTGAATGTTCTACTCTGATGCATAATGAAATTATCATGGAGTCATACTAATGCAAAAAAATGTTACTTCATATAATTATAAGTACTTTCAAAGAAGCAGGCAATGATAAAAGTAAATTTAGAAAAATAGGTGTGCTTACTAACCTGAAATGAGCGAACAGAATGACTCGTTTCAGGCTATGTGCTTACGATTAGTTTTTGTGTCAGACATTCTTGCGCTAATACTTTCTGAGCCCCTCATTTGTTTTAGTCAAAATGTCGGACGGTAAACCCGTTCGACATCGATCGTACATGATCGGGTGTTCAGTAAAGTTGTTCGGGGTTTTGGGAAAAACTAATCATCCTTTGATTACAATCCTTCTGTAATTTGAATTTCCCCAAAAAACAGCACTTGCCCGTCGGGCAAGTTAACAACAAAAATCACCAGCCCAATAGCAAAATCCAATAGCCCCGGGCTATCGAACACGAACTTCCTTTGCACGGTGAAGACTGGAACTACATTTTAACATTTGTTATTTCTTCACCAATTGATTCATGCTGCATTTGTTCTTTTGCTGTTTCATTATGAAACAGCAACAAATGCTTGGTTCATTTTCATGTAAAAGAGAATGGCAATTGAACCTGAAAGCATGAAGATGTCGGTTGTTCAAAGTTTCAGTACAATAGTTTGACCCAGACAATTTTTGAAATGACCCAATTTAAAATGCCATGTAGCATGGGACATACGACCCACTTTGACTAATTTCTAGATTAAACATATGTGGGTTGAGTTTGTTGTTGGTTCTCTCCCTTACTCTGAGAGGTTTTTCTCCAGGTACTCAGGTTTTCCCCTCTCCTTAAAACCAACACTTCCAAATTCCAATTCAATCTGGAACATACAGACACATTTTAACGAGTTCTTAAGAACTCTTAAGTGTTCCCTTGGTAAACAAATTACAATTTTATTACAATTAACCAGTGTTTTGCTAAAGGTTAACTTGTGGCTTCTCTTGAAGCCCAGCCTTGCTTTAATATCCACTTACCAAGCATCTGATTCTAAACAAATGACTGGTTGAGGTTCTTTATTTGGGTATAGCTTCCTTGCATTTTCCACTAGAGAGCTAACATGGCCAGAGTACATGGGATTTGCTGTACCTTTAGCTGTACAAGTAAAATTCAAGAGGATTGTTTGTAAGTGACACCCGAAACAAGGCCACCTAGATCAGTATGTTACAAATCAATCACATTTGTCGCTGGAAACCACACTAACAACTCGGTATTACTTGACAATTGCTAAATAATTATCCAAGGTAATAAATTTGACAATCAAAATAATCAAGCTCAAATGATGATAACACCAATTACTAGAGTAAGCATAATAAAGAGTCAATAAGCAGTTTATTTTTAGAACAGTCAAAGATGGGTATCTCTCTTGTTTGCCTAAAAAGTCACTTAAATGCACCTTATTGGTGTTTTAAACCCCATTTACACTTGCTAAAAATCAGCACGGCACGCCAAATTTTTGGCAATGTGCCTCGTTTACCCATGCCGAGACTACCTGACACCCCTAAAATTTTGAGCACTGGTGCCACATTACATTTGGAACCGATACGTTTACACGTCAAAAATTGGGAGAACCATGCCTTAAAATCGTCAGCACAGTGCCAAAAATTTGGCGTGCCGTGCCGATTTTTTTAGCGCGTGTAAATGGGGTTTCAGTGCACTTTGACACAAAAGTAAACTTATGAAGGACATTATTTTTGCATCATCTACTGCACTGAGATATGACTGCCATTTTACGAGTTCATCCAAGCTACGGAAGGTCTAGATGTCTGCATTCCTTCATTTCTTAAATACTTTGAGACCCTGAGTATCAGTCCAACCCAGGGAATCATACCTACACTTGTACATTGTATGACCTCCTACATGAACAAGTGCTAACTGAGCTACATTGTAGTCCTAAAACCAATTTAAATAAAGATATGATCGTCACAGTGGTAATTGCGATTTAAGCAATTGCAAATTAACTTGAAAAAATTTCAGGACTTAACAGGATTTCAACCCATGGCCTCTGCTGAGCTAGTCCTGACACTTATCCAAAGAATGCCACACAATCAATAACTTGCAGCAAGTGAATTAATAAGAAGGTCTGTTTTGGGTAAAAGTACTTTAAGTCAATCTTCAAATTAAACACCAGCTAAAACAAAATCTGAATAGTGGTGTGACAAGGTTAGACACACTGTAGTCGGAGTACTCTGTAGCCTCACCATTCAGTTGTACTACAAGGTCAAAGATCGAACAGTAGTCACATGACGCAGGAGTGACTTAAAACTCGCATTATTTAGTTTTCCAAAAGAATATACCATGTACGTTCCATAAGATTAATGCCAATAAAGCCAAATTTGTACAACCATTTCAACACATTTATATGTGGAATTAATACTCATTAGAAATCTAAAGTCTAGAAAACGTTAGCTCATAAAAGATCAAGCATTAGAGGGTCAAACTGACCTGAAAGTGCTAACCCTTGCTGATCACTGCAAAGCACTCCGATAACTCCATGTTCTGACATGCTAGAATAAAAAATACATACGAAAAATTAAACATATTTTTCTACTTTTTGCTAAACACATAACTTAATAGACTTACATGTCCTCTAAATGGGAATCTAACGACTTTTCCATCTCGAATTTGGAGCAAGGCACTTTCTACGAGAGTTGTCTTTTTCGTTGCGTGTATATTACAGAGCAATCAATGTACAGACAACCCGCTGACCGTCGATGTCACTCGTTTCCAGGCGCTCGCGTTTGTTACTTCCGCTCTCAATTGGACTTTAGCATTTCGTGAAACATTCTATGAAACTAAGGCCAACGTAATTCTGTGGTCTCGCAATGGCAACAAAAATAGAAAACTCAGGCGATTTCTACCAATGGCAGATTACCAAAAGATCAATGGGTGAAAGAATCAAGCATTTGTACAACAACCCTCTAACGGCCGATGTCAATTTCCTTGTGGCGGAAAAAGGTGGAAAACGTGAATCTAAAATCGCAATTCCCTGTCACAAGCTTGTTCTGGGCTTAAGCAGTCCCGTGTTTTTCGCGATGTTTTATGGAGAACTGGCTGAGACAGGGGATTCTATTGATCTACCAGACTGTGACTCCGAAGGATTTCTGGAATTCTTGCGTTACATTTATCGTGACGAGGCAAAGTTAACCGGAAGTTGTGTGATGCAAGTGCTTTACCTCGCAAAGAAATACATAATACCTTCATTGACGGAGCTGTGTAGACGTTTTCTCGAAAAAAATATTACTCCTCAAAATGTTCTGGATGTTTTGCCGCAAGTAACAGAAATGGACGAGACTCACTTGACTTCCGTTTGTTGGAACGTAGTTGATTCTCATACCGAGAAGGTATTGGAATCTGCTTCGCCTTCGCTTCTCGATGACGCACATTTGTTAAGCTCATTGCTAGCTAGGGATTCACTAACCATCAATGAAGCTAAAATTTTTCAAGCTATTAATTGCTGGGCAGAGGACAATTGTAGAAAGCAGGGTAAAGAAGCAAGCGGGAAAAATAAAAGAGATGTNATTGGACTTTAGCATTTCGTGAAACATTCTATGAAACTAAGGCCAACGTAATTCTGTGGTCTCGCAATGGCAACAAAAATAGAAAACTCAGGCGATTTCTACCAATGGCAGATTACCAAAAGATCAATGGGTGAAAGAATCAAGCATTTGTACAACAACCCTCTAACGGCCGATGTCAATTTCCTTGTGGCGGAAAAAGGTGGAAAACGTGAATCTAAAATCGCAATTCCCTGTCACAAGCTTGTTCTGGGCTTAAGCAGTCCCGTGTTTTTCGCGATGTTTTATGGAGAACTGGCTGAGACAGGGGATTCTATTGATCTACCAGACTGTGACTCCGAAGGATTTCTGGAATTCTTGCGTTACATTTATCGTGACGAGGCAAAGTTAACCGGAAGTTGTGTGATGCAAGTGCTTTACCTCGCAAAGAAATACATAATACCTTCATTGACGGAGCTGTGTAGACGTTTTCTCGAAAAAAATATTACTCCTCAAAATGTTCTGGATGTTTTGCCGCAAGTAACAGAAATGGACGAGACTCACTTGACTTCCGTTTGTTGGAACGTAGTTGATTCTCATACCGAGAAGGTATTGGAATCTGCTTCGCCTTCGCTTCTCGATGACGCACATTTGTTAAGCTCATTGCTAGCAAGGGATTCACTAACCATCAATGAAGCTAAAATTTTTCAAGCTATTAATTGCTGGGCAGAGGACAATTGTAGAAAGCAGGGTAAAGAAGCAAGCGGGAAAAATAAAAGAGATGTCATAGGCGAAGGGATTTTAACATCGGTTCGGTTTCCTGTGATGACAGAAAAGGAATTTGCAAGCCATGTCCCAGACACTGAAATACTCACAGAGACTGAGATTGTCAAGTTGTTCATGTATTTTAATCTTGGTAGACAACCTGGAGAGTTTTCCTGTGTTCCTAGAGGTAAAAACAGCAAAAATCAAATGCAGCGTTGTAAACGTTTCTCCTCCAGATCTGGAGTAGGTTGTTTTTGGCATTACAATCGTGGAGCGGCTGATTCCATCAGTTTTACCGTCAATGCCCCAGTGCTAATCAAAGGAGTAAGGTTATTCGGGTATCAGAAAGAGAAATATCTTGTGAACTTAAAAGTCGACGGTAAAACTGTCGTTGAAGGCGAATTTCAAACGGAAGAACAAGAAAAGTGTGGCTACCATGGTTTTGACGTTATTTTTGAACATCCCCGTCAGCTGCTACCTGAAGTGCCATGTGCAGTTGAAGCGTTGATCCATGGACCTAAGTCACTCTACGGCACCTCAGGTAAAGAGGAAGTTAATTGTGGAACAGTCACTTTTCGATTTATTGCAACAGAAACGCCGCTTGGAAATAGTTCAACTGTGAGTCGAGGGCAGTTCGCAGAAATTATATTTATTGATATACCATCACAGTTGGCCTCAGCCGATGGATCCCAAGATGTGTGAACAATACCTTGCCTAGTCCCTTGGTGTAGGGCGTCTCTCCAGGCCTTCTCGGTCAATGCATTTCAGTGAAGTCTCCGAAACTCGCTCGGACCACGTGACCCGAAACGCATCGGCTGCGCGCAATAATGAGTGATGAGGCCGACTGCCCCCAACCACCCCACGCCCCCCGCACCCTATCTGAAGGTGTGGAACCGCCACTGTTACCATCTACTTCTTGGAGAGGAAAGGGATGGAGGTCTGAGTCCAATTAAGCAAAAGTTTCAAAACTGTCTTCATCATTCACAGTGGCATGGCCCGCGCTCCTTTTTCTTGAGTCAAAGGGAATCTGTTGGCAAAACGGATGAACTATACTCCAAAGCAAAGCACGGCCAAAAGGAAAGACCAAATCTCGGACACCCGAACACTAACGGCCAGTCTGCCGTTTACTTTTTCACAGTCCCCTGGCTGTTACAGGCAGTGAATATAAGTTGTAACGTTTAGCACAAAGATTTGTACTACATTAGTTAGAGAAATGTAAAAATTGTTCCAGTCATTTTAGCCATGTGTTATGTATCTTTACAGAATCCCATAAACCCTGATCTTGGGCACATTAAAAATTTAGTCGAATTTTTTGCTGTGTGAAATGCAAATTAGGCCGACAAATTCATAGGAAATAACCTATTCAGAGTGTTTAACCAGCTGCGTTGCGAAAACGTAAGCTATAAACATGAATTAATTGTGCGAGAGAATAACAGAATCGAAACAGAACTTTTGTATATTTCTTTGATGTTTAAATTTGACTATTTTACGAAAAATGTCGACTCCGAATGTGATAACTGCCTGTTTATGGAAGACGGAGTTACAGAAAAATCTTTCTAACGACCTGTTATCACGACAAAGCAGCTAATTATCCGATAACTACAAGTCTTGACTAGAGAGACTTCGACACTTGTAGGCTGACAACCAAACATGGAAGCTGTTCATAAGTCTTTTCTAACGGCTGTGTCTTGTGAAAGACAGAAGTCTTGGGACAAGGTAATTTGTTCAGTATCGTCTTTTACCGTTGTAAACGTTTTAAATGCTAATTCTTAAAAGCTGAAAATATTATCTAGTCAGTGAAAACGGCTAAAAATACATTCGTCGTTATTGGTTACGTTGCTAAGGCTTGAAATACGTTAGCTTTTCCTTCGATTTATATGTTTATTTAAAGAAGACCTTAGTCTCTAGTCAGTGAAAATTTACAGTAAGTTTAGTTTTGACCATTAGAACCGTTTCTCCGGCATTTCGCAGCTATAGATTTTTAAAACAAATAGGAAATTAATTATAAGAAATATCATAGTAGGTATAAATTGAATTTTATTCTAGCTGGTCAAATCATAAAAAAATATAATTGAAAAATACAATAGAAAAATGTTTAACTCTTGTTCTGCCGTAGCGAAATGCTGTTTACTAAGAATCCGCGATAAGGCCAATATATCGTCAACGTTTTAGCAAGGAAACAAATAACTCGAACGTACCGCACGTTACAGTTGGTAATTGGAAGGTGGCTTAACTATATACTTACCTTCAAAGCAAAACTAACAGAAATGTTATTTTCACGTTTGAAGATATATGCCCAGGGAATAAGTCGAATCCTTAATTTGGGATATTACTCACGACCCCAAAAGCTTTACCATTATATCATAACGTCCAAAAAAGGGGTTTACTTTATTAGTCACTTTCGGATCACTTCACCAACAACTATTCAGAATATGGCGCTAAATTCAATTGTATGACGCTAAGTCCTCTGCCGAAACTGAAATCTTTAGCCCCACTGATTGCCTTATTAAGCTGATTTAACAACGAACATCAGGGGAACGTCAGTTGACGACGACGCGCGTAAATCAAACAACTGGCTTGACCAATGACAGAGCAGCAAATTGAGCACCGGAAGTAGTGTTTAGTCCTTTCCGTGCACTTTCCCTTCGTCAACTGACGTTCCCGTTCTGTTGCAACATCAGCCTATTATAAGTTTACGATGTTAAGGAACTAACTTTCTAAACACAAGACAACAGCAGCAATAATAAACCTGTCTTGTTAAGGATATGAATCGCTATAATTTCTGGCTATATATGTTTCCAATTTTAATAGGCGGTAGTCAGATATGAGGAAGTATTAAGTACAATTTACAAGCTGAAATGGAATAACAGCCTGAATAAAGAGAAGCTCCGGCTTCTGGTAAGTCCTACTTACAGATGTCTCGGTTCATTCAATTGCAATGCATTTACCAGAGTTATGGATGTAATTGCTCATTTTACTGGCTTGCTTTTCGGTTGGTCATGCCATCCTGTTTCGTTAGCTATCCTAGAGGGAGAAACAACATACCCTATCTGATAATCGGAAAAATAGGTTTGAAATTTTCTCTAATCATTTGCTCCCTCTGTTGTTACACATGCGAGTCATACCTACTACAAGTGGCTTTGTAATTTAATGCATATTCAAGCAAGCGTCTTAAGCACAGCCAACGAAAAGAGTTGGCCTTTATCATGGGGAAGTAGAATTGTAACATGATTGTAATGTGACACCAAATTAAAAGGTATCGAAAATCCTAGCATAAATTGTTTCAATGTATACTTATCACGATCAAACAACATCCATAAGCAAAAACCGAATAATCAAACCAAAAATGTTCACAAATCAAAGTATGGAAGGTACAGTCGAGTATATTAAGGCCGTAGTTTTAAATTTTCCTTCATGTCAGATCATCAACCGGAATTTCGGCGGATGCGTCGTCCGTCATCATGAGACTTGAACACTATAGGTAAAGACTGACCATTTTGTCATTCGTCACTTTACTGAATACTAAAGATTAAACTCCTTTGCAGTTATTTGAATGCCATTTTCACTGCGCAGTCGCGTTGCAAAATCGTCAAAAGTACCAGAGAGCATTGCGGCATTTTCAACGAGCCATGGAGGTGGTGAGCTGGAGAAAAGTAGGTTTCACGCAATTTTTATCCATAAGAATTGTTTTAAGCTTTTTTTTCTGCTCATTTTTTTATTTTGAGAAATTTTAATTTGAATCTGACGTTTGCCGTTAGCCGTATACGTAGAGCTCAAACTCTAAGCTCAAACTGAGCCATGTGCACGGCTATAGTATGGGCCTAGCAGGTTCGAAACTATATCCTAGCAACATGCCACGCATGCTCAATAAAGATGTTACTCGTTTCATGCAGGGTCTTTCTCGAGTATGTACGACAAAATCTACCAAGTGAATGAAAGGCTATTGCTTGCAGGGTGGGTTTGCCCGACTGGCCAGTTCGTTTGGCTTTGTGAGTAATTAAAAAAACTTTTTAGAAACCTTGGAATGTCTAGAGACATTCAGCTTACTTTTGAATAAAATCCCTCAGCTTAATTTTTTTTATATATATCGTAGGACGAATGTCAAGCAGGCTGTATCACCGGGAGAGTTCTTCATCTCCACGTCCCCACCTTGGCAAGGATTGCTTGTTGTCTCATTCACCAAGGTTAGAAGCATACTTGCTGTATTCTGTATTAATAATGTCCTTTGATTGGAACAAGGGTCTGAAGTTGCGAATGAAAAGCAAAAAAACATAGCACCGATGGATGCACTATTAGATAAGTTAATCCAAGCAAATAATCTGAAAGTTTTGAAGGATTACCAGATAAGCTGCACTAATCACTAAAGAGGCCTATCCCGGCCGGCATTCGTGGCAACAAATAAAGTCACCCGCTTGTCAGTTGGGTTAGCCTGAGCGTTCCAAGCGTTCAGATAACGGGGAGCGGTGCGAAGTACAAAGAGGGGCCAAAAAATGAAAAGGAGGGATACGCGAGGAATCGCATACAGTGTCTTTTTTTTGTTGTTTTCACTCTACACTTTCTGCCATCGCGTTGGGCGCTTTCCTTTTTTCAGAACTGCCTAGCCGGACCATTACCGGATCAGTCATTAAACAGGCTTGTTCTAAGTGTTTTTCTGAAAAACCCTCTCCTTCGTGCAAACTATTTAGGAATTAACTGATCTAGCTGCATAGATATTCTTCATTAAAAATGAAATTCTCATTACGACAGACAGGCTGACGCCCAGGCTCACTTAATGTAATTTTTGAGCGCAAAGGGCTGTTGTATGTCAGAACTAAAAAAGTCTTTATCCTGCAGGGAACCTCAAAGAAGCTCTGGCTAATGCAGACAAAGCAATTTTACTCGACTTCAGAAATCCTGTAAGCCTTGCATGCTTTTCAAGTTAATAAACTTATGTATGGATATCTTGTGCAACACCGCAAACTTATACCGTGTTCAAAAAACAGAAAATGATATCAATGACTTTTCCTCTTCATTCCACTCATTATTTTCTGGAAATACGGATAAGAAATACATGCAGTTAGCTGAAAGCGCATTTCAGTCTCCTCTTGCGATACTAATAAGCTTCTTTTTTTCCTTTTAAACCTAGGACTTATTCTGCGTCAGGTCGTTGGTAAATTTTCTTCTGAAACGACAAGAAAAGGTAAGATAAAATCAAAAAGCAAGATGGAGATAAGTGCGAAATCGTGCCCTACTCGGACTGTAGTAGTACGGTTGATCAGTCCCATCATTGATGTATAGCTCAGCATCTGCGATGTGGGGAGAATAAAACACGAATATACATTTCGTCAAAATAAAATCATCCAAAAAGCAGTTTGAAACCAGAGAAAGGAGAATCGATGTTTGCATTGAGTCTATAAGAGAGATTTCTCAATTACATCTGCAACTAGAGGCAGTTTCCAAAAAACACAGCGCGATGTTTAATCAATTTAACTCCACACTATTAAAAATCAGCATTTTACTTATAATAGTATTTGTTCCAGTTTATTCCTAGTTTGATTTTGTTTGTGTAGAATGATTATAAAAAGAAAATGGAGTTCGTTGAATCAAAAATACTTGATCGAGTAGCGAAAAGGTCCCACAATCCTTTTTGACTGGTGTTGTTACTGGTTCTCATAGGCTTTACTAGACGCCAGTTTCGCTGTCAAATTGAACCCTTCGCAAGTTTGCGGCTGGCTTCTGAGAGGCTTATACAAGAAGACAGAGGTAAGAAATGGGCCACTTTTATGATCTGTGTCCTGCTTGAAAGATTTCATGATGACACAACAACCAACTGGAAAGATCAATAAGATTAGTACCCCAAGCGAACGTAGTCTCAAAAATTTGCATCTCAAAACGCTAGGATAATCCACCCTTGGATTAAAGGTAAACTTATGCTCCCACTGTCACATTAGCAGATGGGTGTGGCTGCATCCAGTCACACCTTAGATATAATACATATAATATTACCTATAATATGCGTACTTTTCAAACGTGTGTTAATTCATTAAAATGGAGAGCCCCGCGGGTGATTTTTCACTAGAAGTTTTAAAACATTAACAAGGAAGCAAAGTACAGACGAAGCCAAGGACAGACGATAGGGTACATACCGATAGAGTATGAACTTTCACCGTATCGCGCCACAATTTATCCATTTGACGACTTTCTTACTGTTACAGAGAAAAGAAGGGAACAGATCTAAACAAGAACGGGATCTTGATAAGGTATCTATTGAAAACCCTAAGATATAGTGAAAGCCGGGAAAGTTTTTCTTTCATAAAGGGTTGCTGTCATTAATTTTATAACGAGCACTAAGAAACTTAAAGCTGTAATTGAAAGCATTTCTCCGACTAAAAAGAAAGAAGTGTCATTTCAGAATGGAACCCGTCCTCTGGTATATGCGCTAGTCTGATCTCTCCACTTCATCACGAAGATCTTCTTCAAATCCGAATTCATAGAATATTTCAAGGATGTATATAATAAAAATTCAACTGCCCCTCATAAATGATTCATCTATATAAGTTGATTGTGATACCTTTCCACTATTCCCTTATATTTAACTTTGGCCTAAACTTTGATCAGTTCTGCGACTATTTAAAATTCGTCGTCGTTTTCCTCTTTGGGTAAGGCTTCTTTCCTTCATTAGTGAGCAAACCTGTATAACCAGGCCAAGCTGGTCATCTTCGAGGGCAGTTTCGGCCGCTTACTAAAGGTTTAACTATAGTGATATCTCTCTCTTAGTCAAAAATCCTAAGGAGTAACGATTAGTTCTGATCCCCCCTCCGGATCCCCCTTCCCCCACCATCAAACGGCCATGTATTTTATCCACAGGTAACTTAACAGACCAAGGTTTGACTGTAATGATCATGTTTGTAGTGATTACCAGGAGCCGATTAGTAATCGGCTCCTGTGATTACTCACTCTTAGTCGGAATCCGTAAGAACTTAGGACCAGGTTTACCAACCCCTTGTAATGTACCAGGAATTTGTATATCAAAACAGACGCAGAATTCGGAGAACTCAACACAATTTAATCAAATTACATGTCCTCAAGCAACGGCAAGAAGCACGTATTACGCATGCGTGAAGCGCGTAAGGATTCATGGGATGTGACACCTCCACTGACCTTAGACATTCAAGGTCGACTGATGAAAGAAGACTAATATCAATAACTGTATTTACCTGTTTCAAAGGCCTGTGAAGTCAACCCTGATGCAGTCATGTTCGTTGACACAGACAATTTGCAGGCTCACTTTCAGTCAATATTTGACCGGTAGGTCATACCTCCTTGAAATGTGTTTAAGCAATTAAATCACTAATAAAACATAAATGCGACGTGATTTTCCAGACTTTCCACATTTTTTGAAACTTTTCAGAAGTGCATTTTCACCTGGGCTCCATTTCCGGTACTCTCTCGGTCTTCCCTATTTTTTAAAATTAAATTTGATTTATTATTATTACTATTTGCGGTGGGGAAGGGGGGGCGCTTTTCACGAACAACGGCTGGTAATCGAGCCTAATTTTCCATGCTCTGGAAAGAGGATCTGTCTGAGTACCAACCAGTGATACTCTCCTAGTGTCGCCTACAGGTTAGGACCGTGCAGCACTATCAGAATTGATCAAAAAATTTTTTCTCTTTTCTCTTCTTACAGGTTCCTTCCCTCTACGCGTGTGTCCCACTCGATATCTGTTCATGACATTTTAGACGCTGACAGAACAGCCAGGCAAGCAAGCCGCGTTTCGCCGCGAACATTCATGTGTGGAACGGCAAAGCCAAAAAGACGAATGCGAACATGCCCCTCTCAAGAGAAAAGCTATTCTGAAAGACACCTTGAACGCTTCCATACCGAACAGAGTATATCTCATCATAGATCTTCTCTAAATATTATTAGTAGACATCCAGAGAGACATGTATCACGTGCATATTCGTCACTTGACACGTGCACATCACGTGTTCCCCTCCTCACTCTTAGAGATGTGGTAGAGACCAAAAGCGCTTGCTTATGTCGTGGTCAAAGATTCATTGGAACCGGGTTACATCGCGAGAGACAAGGAAATCTTGAATTCATTGAGGTGAGAATGCAAGTATTTGAAACTCGTGGTAAAGAGAGGTAAGAGGTTTGGTAAAAAAAGAAAACGCCAGCTAGAGCTAGAAAGGACCCGTCAACTGATTCAACGACGAAATTATTTAAGGTAGGGTAAAAGGATTAGCGATGAGATATTGTAGCTGGGATGGGACAAGTTAGTGTCCGGCCATGAGATACTCACTATCTGTCTTCTCCAAAGGATTAGATATACTTTGTATAAGGATAATTTAAGTTGACAGGCGAATTGTTATTTACAGTGAAATTACTGCGCCTTTTCCCTTTAAATATAAATCACTCTCGTCATTATAACGTACTTTTTGTATCTTTTGAAGGACTTGACGTATCTAAGTGAGAGAATGTATGCAAGGTAAGCCAATCATCTCTAATCTCGTATACAGTTCTTCCAAGGTCAAGGGCTTTTCTCCAGCTTCGAAAATGGTAGAGAAGGGACTGGGGACGGACTAGATTACGAGATTATCACTGTCCTTCTAAGGCAACTGAAAAGACAAAAGAATATATATTTCTTACTTAATTTTCTTTATTCATAGGAAATGGTTTCAAGACAGGATACCAACAAAAATACCTGACTTCACGGGTTGCCGGAAACTCCTTTAACAAAACAGACACTTTTTGTCTTTAACCTTGGTTGCCATGGTGACAATAACGGATGTTATTATGTGTGGCATAAAGTGTTCTCGCGCGTTTTTAAGAAAATATACGAAATACCGATTAATTAAATTATGCAGGGGGGGATCCAGGAATTTTTTTAGGAGGGGGTGCACTCGTCTCTTGCTCTACTTTAACACCAATAAACCACATAGTTTTTTTTGCAGAATAACAGTTGTATTAGAAAACCGCAGGACATCTGAGGGGGGAGGGGGAGCGGACCTCTGCACCCTCCCCCTAGATCCGCCCCTGTTATATAACATGTATTTTGCAAGTTAAGCAAGTTAGTTGATCAAACTTAATTCTTAGTAAAATCCTACATAAAATAGAAGGCTTGTGCAAGCAAGTAAAATAACGAAATATCTTGATAAATGAACAAGTAAATAAATACATAAATAAAAAATGATTGAACAATTGATAAATAAACAATAAACTTTTACCAGAGTGAAGATGGATTTTTTAATGCGAGATTTTTTTTAACCTCCAAGTTTAAATGACTAGATTACAATTCACTCTGGCTGTGAAAGGTTAAGACAACTAGCATACACACACAACTGAAAATGGAACGACGATTCAAACGACAGATTCGCGCTCTAATATTAGCCCATGTTCCTCCTTTTCTTCGATTAAGTATTCTGCCCGGCTAGTCAATTGAATACTGCTCTTTGAGGTGGACAGACAATAGTGAGAAATCTTGAGCTTGCGGCATAATGTCAAAACTTCTTTCTTAAAGTCACTCTTGAAATAGGTGTAGAGAAGTGGATTAAAGAGGCCGGTAAAAAACTTGAAAAATAATGAAGCTTCTTGTACCCAGGGAGGGATAACAATCCAAGTATAGTTTGAATCAGCTTCAATGGCTAGCAGGAAGTAAGGGACCCATCCAGTTATAAAGATTCCCAGCATACAGATATAAACCAGCTGCATGCTGTGTTTTTCTGTCTTCTGATTGGCTGCCCGCAAATGGTCAGTCTGCCGCCGGATCATGCGAATCTGTCGCCTAGCAACCACTAGTATGTGGGCATGGGCGTAGATCATGAACGTAAGTGGCAATAATACGATAATCGCAACGCAGAAAATATCATAGATCAGATATTTGTTTGGCAGCGGCATTTCCCCATGTACTGGCTCATACCAAAACAGCTGAATGAGTGAAACAAAAAGCGATAGTAACCAGGTAAACAATAACGAGGTCAAGATACGGGATTTTGTCATGACTCGAGGATAGACCATCGGGTAAACAATCATGGTATACCGCTCGGTTGTGATGACCAAGAGGTGGATAATTGATGAAATCGTCAAGAATCGCTGACACAGATCCATGGCCAAACAAAGTTCTGGAATAACACACAATGTGGAAGAGCAGGCAATTGTCAAGGGCACGGCGATTAATCCCGCCATAAAATCACTTGCTGCGAGACTGCACAAACAAAAGTTCGTTTTAGTCCTTAAACAGTCTTTAAGCACAACCAAAAATATGACTGTCAAATTAGCTGCTATGATGAACACAGCTAACAGCACAAGGCCTGCTCGAGTTATGATCGCAGAAATTGGAAGGGAACTAGAGTTTCCGCAAAATTCGTTCGCTGCGTCCGCTATTTCATCTGGTGCCATCTTATAAGCTGACCTAAGCTGAAAATTAAGCTTGCTTTTGCTTTTCAGTATAGAATGCAACTCCAAAACATGCTTGTCCAGTTTGAGTTTCAAACGTCTTCCAATAATCCACCCAAAACAGAGATGTGTTTTCGCAACGCTAGGAACACATAAACAAAACTAAAATTTCTTTTCATTAGAAAAGCGATTGGAGTTTCAATTAGAAATTCAATTTGGTATTCTGCCATTATAAGGCGGACTCAAGCCAAAAAACTAAAACTCGGCTATTGAACTTCAACACCTAAAAACCACATTGGTTTATCATTGGTCGAGACAGTTCTCATCACTTTACCAAATCACCGTCATAAAAGCTCGTTACTGATGAGTTTCTCGCTTGCAGTTTCGTTTTTAATTGTATTTTTTTACTTTCATCTCGAGCGTGTTAATTATGAATAAAATATGATTTTGAGGCTTAATAGTGTGTTTTGAAAATATAACAAGTACAGAAACAAAATAATGAATATCTCAATTAGTTTTTCTGACGGCAAACGCCTACGGAATGGATTTGGTTGAATCAAGGAGTATTAAAAAAAATGTATGGACAGGAAATTGATGCCTAAGAAAAACAAGAATCAACAAAGCATGACCAAGATCTGCATAATTTTTATCTACACTGGTAACAGTCATCGTTAACTTGGTGTAGTCTTCTTAATATTAATTGCCTGAATTGTGCATCTTCAAAACAAACTGTTCATAATGACGTTCTGAAGATCTAGTTCAGTAAATGTTTTGAATTAAAGAAAGAAGGTCAACACTTAAACTGCATGTCTCAATACTTGAAGATAGTTTTCTTGATTTCCGAATACCGAACTCAAGGTTGGCAATTAAAAGCGTATCTTTCCGTAAATCTCGTTAGTTAAATTTTCTTTCGAGTTTGCCTTTTCTTGTTTTTCTAAAATTCTCAGTAAATAGCAAGTTTACCCTCAAAATCTGAGAGCCCTTCTAAAAGGAAAATTAAATACTTCTTTTACTGTAGGAAGGGCAATTTTTACTTTTTTAAAACTAATATCTTGCGATCTGACCTGTAATCTCTAAACCTTTTTTCAGGAAGACATATTTTCTCCATAGATATATCTACACCTGGAAAGACATCTGAAATAGGACAATCTTATTGTTTCTCTAAAGANAAACTGTTCATAATGACGTTCTGAAGATCTAGTTCAGTAAATGTTTTGAATTAAAGAAAGAAGGTCAACACTTAAACTGCATGTCTCAATACTTGAAGATAGTTTTCTTGATTTCCGAATACCGAACTCAAGGTTGGCAATTAAAAGCGTATCTTTCCGTAAATCTCGTTAGTTAAATTTTCTTTCGAGTTTGCCTTTTCTTGTTTTTCTAAAATTCTCAGTAAATAGCAAGTTTACCCTCAAAATCTGAGAGCCCTTCTAAAAGGAAAATTAAATACTTCTTTTACTGTAGGAAGGGCAATTTTTACTTTTTTAAAACTAATATCTTGCGATCTGACCTGTAATCTCTAAACCTTTTTTCAGGAAGACATATTTTCTCCATAGATATATCTACACCTGGAAAGACATCTGAAATAGGACAATCTTATTGTTTCTAAAGAAACAATGAGAGGACTGGTGCCGAAATGTGACCCGCGATTGTTTCTGGGATTGTTAATGTGGTCGCGCCCGTCAGCTATTGGCCAATGTTTTCCCTGTCCCCAAGAAAAGTCCCAGAAGTCTCTGCGAAAGAAACATTCATAAAGTTCATAATCGTCCAAAGCTACCGTAAAAATCCGAAAATAAGCCCTGGGGCTTATATTTTTCAAAGGCCCTTTTTGAGGGGCTTATTTTTGGAGGGGCTTATATTCGCCGAGAGGCTTATCTACAGAGGCAAATTTGCGTTTCAAAATCGATCGGGCTAGCCTTAAAGTTGGCAGGAAATTTACCGTTTTTGCTTTGTTTTACTTTGTATTTGAAGGCAATTTTCCAAGTACAAGCCCCCAGGGGGGGTATATTCGGAGGGGTGATTTAACGGAGGGTTTTTGCGTTACCGTTTTGGGGGCCTTGTATTTGGAGGGGCTTAAAAATGGAGGGGCTTATTTTCGGAATTTTACGGTATAACCCTGACAATGGTGTTTGGCGCCGCAACTCGAAACTCAAACGAATGACCACATAGATATGTTGCTCCGAATAGTTTTTTTTTTTTTTTTTATGAGAAAACATTTTATAGAAG